GGCCCTCTGCACGCGCACCGAGACAGGTTGGCAGGGGGACGCGCGCGGGGGGGGAGGGGGCGCGTGGGAATCTGCGCCTCCTGCAGCCAGGGGGGCCTGGTGCCAACCCCCCGGGGAAGCCGGGCGCGGCCGGGGCAGAAGGGGCCGGATCCGCGCGCGCTCCCAGCCTGCGCTCAGCGCGCTTTCGCCGGTGCTCGCCAGCGGACCGCGCCGTTTGGCCGAGGCCCCTTCTGCATCTATTTCTTTCTTTTATTTTTATTATTAAATTTGTATCCCGCCCTCCCGGCCAAGGGCGGCTCACAACAATAAAATTCGCATAAAACAATCAAGCGTAAAACGACACACATTAATAGATACAACATTAAAATCCAAACAAAACAAAGTGCCGGCAACAATGTAGCCGTCGCTCCGCAGGAATTTGGCTGCCTTTGATGGGCGGGTTTTATGGAAGCCTCCACGCTGCAGGCCGCTTTCGCATCCTTTGAGCTCTCGGGTTTTACGGTACTGTCTGCATCGGGTTCATGGCCGTTGACGGGTGACGCTGCAGACAGGACGGCGGTGGCCCGGGGTGTCTGGATGCAGTTTTGAGCCGCAACATTTCCTGTTCTGATAAAACAGCGGAGCGAAGGCGAGATGCAGAACCGGCCACGGTGAAACCCAGTGGCAAAGCGCATTCTTCCGCGTGTGCCAGAAGGGGGCTGGTTCCGGGGCTTCTTCTCCCCCCCCCCCCCAGCCCTTTTCTTGCCCTCGCCGGGAAAACACACGAGCTGTATCCCACGCATTTGTTTCTTTAGCGCCTCGTCCCCACCAGCCCTTCCTCCAAGGAGCCCAGCCTGGCCGACGTGGCTCTCGCGTCCCTGTGTTTAACCTCACAACAACCCCGTGAGGTAGGCGAGACGGAGACTCAGACAGCGAGAGCACGTGGGCGTGTCGGGATTTGAACCCGGGCCCTGCATCCAAAACGCGGCCAGGGGGAAGATCTGTTGGGGAAAGGTTGCCAGGGCCTACTCAGCATGAGGGTGAGAAGAGGGGTCTGCAAAGGGGAAAAGGTGACTTGATTGGCCGGGAGGCTTCCTCCTTCCCCTCCTCTCTAGCCTTCCCGATTCGGACTCTATGTCTCCTTGTTGCCGCTCTAGCCCACGGCACTCTATGGGCATCTCTCCCACTTACTTTTCTTGGCTTTTCTCGGGCGTGCCGCTCTAGCCGACGGAGCACTCTCTTGTCGAAAGTTTGGCGGACTCGGGGGAGAGGCATAGGGATGCCAGCCTCCAGGTGGGGCCTGGGGATCTCCCGTTTTTACCGCTGCTTTCCATTCCAGCTGACAGAGATCAGCTCCCCTGGAGAAAATGAATCAAAAACTAGACAGGCTTTGGTGTAATTACAATAGGAAAAATAGGGCACACACAGAAGAAAATTACTCTTCTATATTTTTAACACACTTAATTGTATTATTATGACAAATTTCCTGTATTAACTACCATTCATTCATTATATATGAAGTACATGTCATGAACATAAGTAAAGGTTCCCTTGCTCAAAAGCCAGTCGAGTCCGACTCTAGGGTTGCGGTGCTCATCTCCGTTTCAAAGCCGAAGAGCCAGCGCTGTTCGAAGACATTTCCGTGGTCATGTGGCCGGCTGACAGGGCTCCCAAGGCGCACGGAACGCTGTTACCTTCCCACCGAAGTGGTCCCTATTTATCTACTTGCAATTTCTTGCTTTCGAACTGCTAGGTTGGCAGGAGCTGGAACTAGAGACAGGAGCTCACCCTGTCTTGCGGCACCCGGGTCTTGAACCGCTGAACTACTGACCTTCCACAGCCTGCAGTTCAGCGTCTTAACCACTGTTGTAAGCCGCTCTGAGACTCCAAGTGAAGGGCCGGGTATAAATCCAATCTCCTCCTCCTCCTCCTCCTCCTCCTCCTCCTCCTCCTCCTTCTTCTGTTGGCAGGAGCTGGGGCCAGAGATGGGAGCTCACTCCATAAAATCTTGATGTAGTTACTCTTGACGTTGTTTTGGCTGAGCTCCTGGAATGTTTACTCTGAGGCATCCTGAGGGAGCTGTAAAGTCTTTAGAATGAATGAAAGCTTGTTAATACAGGAAATTTGTTATAATATTACAACTAAGCAGAGGTCATTTCGTAGAAAAAGAGATGCAGGAGCTCATTAGCATAACTCATTTGCATAGGCCACACCCCCTGACATCACCGGAAGTGTGTCAGAAGGCGACACCCACCGCTCAGGCGCCACTGGGCTGTTTTGGATTGCTAGATATTGGGGGGGGGGGGATGGGAGGGATCTGTACACTTTACAGCTCCGTTGGGACGTCTCAAAGAGTAAATGTTCCAGGAGCTCAGCCAACACAACGTCAAGAATAACGACATCAAGATTTTGTATTGTTTTGTATTGTACTCATATTATCATTGACTGGCTTTGCTTATGTTCATGAAATGTACCTGATATATAATGAATGAATGCAAGTTAATACAGGAAATTTGTTATAAGGAAATTTGGTGTACCAATGCAACTAAGTGTGTTAAAGATAGAGTAATTTTCTTTGGTGTGCCCTATTTTTACCCTGGAGAAAATAGCTGCTTTGGAGGATGGGCTCTATGGCGTTGTACCCCGCCGAGGCCCCTCCCCTCCTCCAAACCCCGCCCTTTCCTGGCTCCACCCCCAAAAATCTCCAGGTATTTCCCAACCCAGAGCTGACGACCCTGCCAGCCAGAACAGGCATGTTCATTCATTCATATTCTACTTTTCCTAGGGTTGCCAACCTACAGGTGGGGCCTGGAGAGTTTCATGAAGTACAACTGATCTCCAGGCTAGAGAGCTGAGTTCCCTAGAGGAAAGGCTTTGGAAGGTGGACTTCATGGCCTTATATTCCACTGAGGCCCCTCCCCCGGCTCCACCCCCCAAATCTCCAGGAGTTTCCCAACCTGGAGCTGGCAACCCTAATTTCCTCGTCGTTCAGAGCAGCTTAGGGTAAGAGTTAAAAACATTTTCAGTTAAAAACAAAAAATAAAGTCGTAAATCTCAAATCTCACTTCCCCCGCCCCTTAAAAGATGCCTGCCCTTCAAGCCCCCTCGAAAGCCCTGGAAAAGAGGCCATTGCTGAGCTAGAGGGAGATGTGTTGGTGGCCATGGAACATCAGACATCTGGGCCCTGAGAGAAGAACAGATTGGATTTATACCTCGCCCTTCACTACCCGAAGGAGTCTCAGAGCAGTTTACAATCTCCTTTCCCCACCCCACCCCACAACAGACACCCTGTGATGTAGGTGGGGCCGAGAGAGCTCTTTCGAGAACTGCCCTTGAGAGAACAGCTCTGAAATAACTTGTCACTGACCCAAGGTCACACCAGCAGCTGCATGCGGTGGTGTGAGGAATCAAACCCGGTCCTCCCAGATTAGAGTCCACACTCCTCACCACTATACCAAACTGGCTCTTGGGGCTTTCAGGCTGCTCAGTTAGAATTTAACATGCAATGCTGAACCTTCACTCCTGGTCCATTTCGTTCAGTACGTCCACTCTGATGGGCAGAAAACCGTTCTCTCTCTTTTTCTTAAACTGCCCCAATGGGCAGGTTTTTATTGATTTTCCAACATATTACAAGCATATACCAACAGACATACAAACATACATACAAGACATTCATGGGGTTCATAGTTAACTCCAAAGACAACAAAACTGGGGCCAATATCAGTCCAATAATACACTCTTAAACATTAGTTATGTATGCTAATACAATTACTTTTATACTTGATCTTTAAGAGCCTTCTGCAGGTGGCATCACTTAGGATACATATGGTAAGCATGTAGCAGTAGAACTGGGGCCAATATCAGTCCAATAATACACTCTTAAACATTAGTTATGTATGCTAATACAATTACTTTTATACTTGATCTTTAAGAGCCTTCTGCAGGTGGCATCACTTAGGATACATATGGTAAGCATGTAGCAGTAGAACAGAGAGACCTTTTTGGCTTCCAAGCTTAGTCTATCAAGGACAGGTCCCACATGAGATATGGTTTAAGGTAGGTAGTAAGTAGGATTGCTTTAATATAATGCAATTATATAAATAGCTGGATTAAATTCCAATACCTCTGTTTTGTAGGAAATAAGGGCTAGTCCCTATATTAAATGTAGCAACTCTTGAGAAGAGTCTTTAGAAACCAGGAAAATAACATTACAACATAAAGAAAATTTATACACAAAACCAGGTAGTATTCTTCAATTTTGACTTTCATTGTGGGTTTGCAAACTGTGTTAAGTGTCATATTTTAATACTGTATGAATGTATTGTAATGGATTCTGTTTTGCAGTTAAGTTGCTTCTGAGGAAGTTAAGAGACAAGCATAAGCCGGCTGCTTTGTCAAGCTCTACATTCTTTTGACTGTTAACAGCACATGTTTTGGAATTCC